CCGTGACAGAAGACTCGACCAACTACAGTTTAACAGCGTGTTTACCCTCCGTTTTGTTTCCAGGTTTGTTCAGTGTTTTGTTTTTTTCCTCCCGTTTTTTCCCTCATGGATGCCCTCCTTCGTCCCGAATATCTCCTCCTCCTACTGGAGCAGGGGGACAGATCTCTCGAGGACCATACTAGACAGTTCCTGATGTTAGCTAACACCACCAGCTACCCGGACGACGTGCTCTGCTCATTCTATGACGCAAGTTTGAACACCACGTGCAGGGTGCTGTCGTTCAAAGATGGTCCTCGAGAGGACTTCGCCGCCTTCGAGGAGTGGACTCTGGCGAGAAACGGATCGCCATTCACCATCTGTCCCGTGGATGATCTCGCCGGATCCGCTCCCGACCCAGAGCCCAGTTCACCATCTCCCTGCTGCGCGGAGCAGCAGCCCGAGCCCACCGTTGACGGAGTGCCAGTTCCCGCCGCAATCGACGAGCCAGCGCAATGCCGAGCGACTGAGCGGAGGATCACCCCGGACGCAGAGCCCCATCTGTCTGACGAGGTGCAAGAGCCAGCGACAGTGCCCGCCCCGAGGGAGAAAGCCGAGGACGGTGAGAGCGCGGTGAGGAGCTCCGTCCCCTGCACCGTGGCTGAGGGTGAGCTTATTGTGGATCTGGGAATGTGGCAGGCTGAAAGGGCTCCCGTTCCTGAGTTTAGCCCGGAGAAGGCTCCTGTTCCCACGTCCGGCCCGGAGAGGGCTCCTGTTCCTGAGTTAAGCCCGGAGGCTCACTAATGCCCGTCCACCCACCCACTCCTGCCTCCTCCACCGCTGTCATCTGGCAGCCCCTCTGCTCGCCCTCAGCCTACCATCTATACGGTGTGAGCTCCACGGGTCTACCAGTCTCCATCGTCACCGGGGCTGGAGCATCCCTCTCCTCCGCCTCCAGCCTCCGAGGCCCGGACTCTGCCTCGGCCCGTAGACCCAGCAGCTCCACCTCGGCTCCTAGCTCCCTCACCTCCACCGTCGCCCGTCGATCCACCAGCTCCACCGGGCTCCCTCGTCCCTCCGGCTCCGCCTTGGTCAGGCGTCGACCCGCCATCGCCTCAGGACTCCGCTCCTCCGGCTGCACCTCGTCGCTCTGTCCCACCGGCTCCGTTGGGCTCCTCCCTCCCGCCAGCTCCACCTTGGTCCTTAGTCGCTCCGGCTCTGCCGCTGATCTCCGCCTCCGCCTCCGCTGCCAGAGCCCTCGGCTCCACCCTGGCCCCCCTGATCCTCGGCATCCCCCTGGCTCATTGACTCTCCGTCTCCGCCTCGGGCTCCTCCGCCAACTGCAGCGCCGCCATCGGGCGGCTCCCTGGAGTCGGCGGCCATTCCTCCTCTATGGCTCCTCCCTCTGTCGGCTCCTCCGTGGGTCGCCATCATGGCTGTGGCCTGGGTCCGGCTTGGACTCCTCCTGCTCCAAGCCCTTCCTGTCTCCTCCTTGGCTCCTCCCTCCTACATCACCTCCTTGGACTCTGTCTGCCGGCCCCCTCCTGGGTGTCCGTCCTCCTCCTGAGCCTCCTCCCATGTTCCCTCCCGTTCCTCCCCATGTTGCGATATGTCAGGAGTTTGGACCTGTCTGTGTGTTTTCCTCCCCATGTGCTCCGTGACCTAGTTTTCCCTTGTGTTTGATTGTGTTCATTGCTCCCTGGTGTGTCATTATTAGTTGATCCCCTCACCTGTCATTCTCTCATTTGTGTTGTGTATTTAAAGTGTTCTGCCCTATGTTTCTCTGTCGAGTCTTAAACGTCAATTCCCCATTGCTACGTGCTTGTTCCTGGTTCCTTTAAATGAATAAAGACAAGCGTAATGTCTTTTCTTTGATACAAAAATGTATTCATTGAAAATTAATAAAATAAAAAATAAAATAATAAAAATAATACTATAAAAAATAGTAAATTAAAACCAATATTTAAAACCAATAAAATCAATATATATATTTTTTAAATATAAAAAAAATGAAATTTTATATAATTGGCTTGTAGGAGTAGATCACTTTTTTCTTATTCAGGATTATTTAGTGAGATTTAGTGCATAAGTGTTTATGCATGTTATTTGGTATCGCTGGATTGTATTAATACTGGATCAAAAAGATGAGCTTCATATGAATCAGACATAAGAACTGGTCATCTAACCTGACTTACAAACTTATGCTATCAGTAATATAATATGTGTGAGTGCACTACTATTTGGCAAGTTTAGTATCATCAAACCCACTACAAATTGTTGCAACAGCAATGGTAATATCAGGCTAAATCATTTAGTACTGAAACATTTTGTAACATGTTGAAACATGTTGTACTAAAACAGATAAATGTTGTTCCCTTAGTGGAGGACAATTTTTACTGCATACTGAGGGAGAATTTCACTAAAAATGAATTACGCCCACTAATAGTGTTGTTTATTTGCACATGCTGCCTTATTTTGTTCTCAACCTGTTTCACTTTCATCTGTAAAACACAAAAGAAGATATTTTGAATAATGTTGGCAATTAAACCATTTTGGTGACCATGTATTGACAAAAGAAACACAGAGACATTACTCAAAATGAAAAACACAAAATTAAAGAAAGTCATACAGGTTTGAAACATTTTCATTTGGAAAAAATCTGGTTGCTGATTATCCCGTGTCGGATAGCATTGTCTTTTTTTCGTGAATAAGGTTTTAAACCTAATTTGAATAGAAAAGAGGAATGTTTGTGTTGGATAGAATGACACTGATGTGAATTAAATACACATGCCATCGCACAGCATTGCATAGACTGCGCCTGGTTAAGCTGTTTGCAAGCAGAGATAAATGTTTAGTGAATTCACCCCACAGTATAAAGGTGCAATTTCTGAACCTTAGTATCCTTCTGCTTTCAAAGCACAAGGATATCCTTGTTTGCTTTGTGGACAAGACATGAGGATGTATTTTGACACACCTGCATTGCATCAGCCAAAGTTATGGTCAAACAACATGGCATTGCCGTTGTTCCTGATTGACATGAGGGGTAATCAGCCTGTCCACTTCTGACTGGGCCACTAGCAGGGTTTCTGTCTGACAGAAATGCTTGCTTGGAAAAGTAAATCACATTTTGAACTTAAGAGTTTCAGTTGGCTGTATAAACTCTAGAATTGTTTACTTTCCTGAAAATTTATTGGATTTTTTTTGCTCCTAAGATACATTAATATATTTAAGCTATTAAGGCAGTTGTTATAAATGCTACATTTCAGCCCTGGATGGACATTGTTGCAGTTCATACGGTACCAAATGGTGTGGGTCCATCTGCTACATTTCACTCAGTAATTTTACTCGCACTGTAAGTGATTGTGCGTGAAGCCCATCAGTGGGATGTGCTGTGCTGTCTGAGCTAACAGATGAAGAGGCCATACTGGCATCATACCTCTGAGAGTCCATCAGCTTAATAAAAGTGTCACAGCGGCTGATTTGTTGTGTCTGTTAATAACAGAAGCAAAGGGTTCGACGGGAAAGAGATTAAACAGACGGCTAGAACTGACATACAGGTGCTGTCATTTGTCTTCACTCATCCGGCTTCCCAACCTTATACATTTCTTCTAATTTTCTCTGTTTGTCACACACAAACTATCTCCAGAGATATTTACACTGCAGTGCTGCTCCTGAGCTTTGGGGATGTACAGTATTGATGGGTATGAGATTTGAGATCTCCTCAGTCTGCATGGGAGCTTTAGGATGTTCAGGCTCAGCCTGGCAACAAACGCAGTATTGAGGGCGACAACTGCATTCATTTTCAGGACTGAATTATATTATTGTTCTGAATGTGTATGGCCATGTTAGAGAAGCTACAAACTACTAATTATTTAAGTACTTAAATTTCAGTAAAGCTACTGTGTTGAAAAAGTATATTGTAATATTATTATATTATATCAGATTGGATCAGGATAAAAATTATTATATATTTATTTTCTAATTTAATAAGAACTCTGTCTCATAAACAAAATGGGTTTTAAATGAATGAATCTTGGTTAGGCTGAAATGAATATTTTTATTCAGCAAGGGTGCATTAAATTGATCAAAAGTGACAATAAATACATTTGTTACAAAAGATAAATGTTTATTCAGCATATTAAAATGATTTCTTAAGAATCATGTGACACTGAAGACTGAAGTAATGGCTAATGAAAATCCAGCTTTGCCATCGCTAAAATAAAATAAAATTGTAAAATATATTCAAATAAAAAAAGTAATTTGTAAATTGCAATAATAATTCACAATATTGCTGTTTTGCAGTACTTTATCAATTAAATGCAGCCTTGTTGAGCATAGGAGACTTATTTCAAAAACATTATTTATGTGGAAACTGTGATACATTTTTTAAGATCCTTTGATGAATAGAAAGTTCAAAAGAACAGAAGAAAAATTCTTACTGACCCCAAACTCTTGGCCATGTAGTGTATAGAGAATATTAAGTCTACTGAGCATCTTGACTGCTCTTGACAGCCATAGATTATCGTCATGATAAAAGGGCAGTAAAGATGCTCATTAGTAACAGCAACATTCATCTGGGGCAAGCAAACTGCATTTGCACCTGTGCGTTGAACACGGGGAATACATGAATATCATGGAAGCAACTGGGCAGTTTGAGTATAAATGTTTCCCTCTACAAATCACGAGGAGATTGGAAGCCATTAGGCTCTCTGACGATGGAGTCATAGGAAGCCACGGCTCATTAAGGCAGATTGCAAATGTAATTTTGCTGCTTCCTCCCTGGCCTTGTATTGAGGGATTGCAACGAAATTAATTTTGCATAGAGTCTGGGTTTTTGAATCGAAGCCAAAGCATGCATGACCCACGGCAAGTGTGATTAAATCACTGGTGGAGCTTTCAGAAGGAAGGTCAACCAAACCGCATTAAGACTGATTCCTCCAACCCTCTTCCCACCTAGCTTCTAGCCAATCGCCATAGATCGCCATATTTTATCTAAATAACTCTCTCCTTGTTCCATTCCCTAGATTGCCTGTTTGTAACTGACTATTTCACCCGGACACCTCGCAAGCTCAACGCCTACCGCTCTTTTGCCAGCGTGGAGCTGTTCCACTTCAACGTGCCTGAAGACACCGTGGTGGCTGTTTGGAACCTCATCACCTTCAAGGAGCAAGGGGGCACCTTCGGAGACAGCTGCCCAGACCGCAATGTGACAGTGTGAGTTGGCTAAACCTCCAGGTTACATCCACTGAGGGTTGGTTGGGGGGGCAGACAAGGACAACAGCGTAATGTGGTCACATATGTCCAATCAGCATTTTAGATGAGAGGAGGGGATATGTAAAAGCCAAATGTCACATGCGTGAATATAATGACATTTCTGGCACGCACACTGAAGAGTACTCACTGTTTGCCCTGATAAAATAGCATTGGATCATTGGATCAAGGATCATTTCCCAGATGCTGATCATTTTCTGTGCTCTCCATAAAAAGGCATTTATCAAGTGTGGTGCTGGCAGAATTCACAGCATAACTGCACACTGGAGATCCATAAGCATAAAACACCAAGTGACACAGATAAGATTTAAAATCCAAATCTGACACTTTTACTAATTTCACAGGGTCACATTCAGTAGAATTGTTTTAATCCATTCTAAATGGCCTCTAAAATTAGGATGGTCCTATATTTTTATTAGTCATAAAAGACATTGAGTCATTTGGTTATCAGCTCAAGGTTACAAAACAAAAAATGACCTTTTTTTGGTTGATGAGAATATGGGATATTATCAGATTTAGCACAAGTTAAGATCAGTTGACAGAATTTGTGGCACAGTGTTGATTACCGTGACAAAAAAAAAACATTTCATTAACTGGTATAATGTTAATATATCAATCTACTGGAGTACTAATATCTGTTTTGTACCATTGTAATACATCAGCAACCACTAAAAACAGGTTGTGATGAGAAAGTCACATGATGAATCAAAGATAATCACAAACAGCTCTTCCACAAACTGAGTAGGTAAATACTAATATATAGAAGGTGCACAGTGTCATTCACACAAATACAGAACACCATTATGGAAATAGCGCGCATGATTGTAAAATAATGCAATAAACAACAAATTAACAACATTAGATGTCAGATAAAACCCTAATGTACACAACTGATAAGTAGAAACAGTTATTTCAATGAAAAAACATCAAATGTGAAGTATCATGCAGGGAATTCTGAGAATGTCAATTTATGTTTTTTCACTGTATATTTTACAATGACTTGTTCTTTTTCACTTCCATAAACCGTAATTTTAGCAGTGCTTTTACTGTAAAATGACATTAAATGTAAGGTTAGCTGTATTGCAGTTTATTCACTGTATATAGTACGGAAACGTCCTGTTAACCAATTAACAGTTTTTTAATGTGGCATTTTTACAGTCTTTTACTGTTAAAATCGCAATCTTTTTTACAGTGAGGGTTTTATGGGTTATCTGTCATGGCAACAAAGTTTGTAAAATTGAATATAACTTTACACAGAAAAGGTTAGTAAGTGATTTTCACACTAAAATATTTGTATTTCTTCGAAACCATTTTTAAATGTTTACAGATTTGCTGCATTCACTTGCATTGTAAGTGCCTCACTGTAACCCAGATACTTGTTTTAAAGAAAAGGACGGTCAAGTTGAAATAAAATGTGGTGTTAATCAACACTATGCTGTTGATTAAGCCAAACTTGTATTGAACCCTGAATATCTCATTAAACCTGGTCAGATTTTAAGCCAATTTTACAAATAAAAAGCAACAACATTACCCCATTTCCGTGCTTTCTAGGCACAGATGAAGCCAAAAATGTCCTGAAATTAAGTGTGAATACTTTCACTCTTGTACATTTTTCCTCCAGTGAGCTCTCAGATACTTCACAAGGTGTTCTTTTAGCCTTTATCTTTCTCTGTCCATTTCTTTCAAGTCATCCTTGAATGATCCCAGTGCACTTTCATAGCCAGCACATGGTGTGCTAGCACAAGAGCTGTTGTTAAAGTTAGTCTTGGCCCTTGGGTAATCAAAATGTAGAATATTATTCACTGAATACTCAGGTCTTCAAATCCCAGCACACTGGCTGTCATTAAAGTTTCATCAAAACACTGACCTTGTTATTGCCTGTCACTGAATGTACATCATAAGTGGCGAGGAAGTAACTCCTGGCTGTCTTTAATGTGTGACATTATAAAGAGGAGAAGAGACTGTCCTTGAGTCAATGTTCCACCACTGGTTTCTCTGACAAATAGCCCCATCACAGAGGTCTGCTTTTCATGCATTCAGCATTAACATTAGAACATTAGTGTATGCTTTATTTGTTTGCTACTACTTTGCTGCTACCGCTGCTGCTACGTTGACCTTAAAATTAACATAAAAGTAGCATTAACTCTAGCATTAAGCACAGGATATGATGTTTTAAATGCACTCCCTCCACAAAATAGTGATATAGATACGTCTAACCATCAGACTGGATGGATGAATAGAAAGATGGCTAGACAGAAGGAAGGATGGATGGCTGGTTGAACAGTCAAAGATGGATTGAAAAACAGATGGAGGAATGAATGGATAGACAGAAAGATGGATGGATGGATAGAAAGATGGCTAGACAGAAGGATGGATGGATGCATGCATGGACAAAGATGGATGTATGGAAGGAAAGAAGGATAGATATATAGATGGAAAGATAGATGGATGGATGTATAGATGGATGGATAGATGAAAGGAAGATGGAAAGAAAGAAAGTTAGAAAGTAGAAATTAACATAAAAGTAGCATTAACTCTAGCATTAAGCACAGGTTATGATGTTTTAAATGCACTCCCTCCACAGATGCTCTCTGGCTCTTATGCTTCTTTGATGTCAGATTTCTTTCAGACTGCACATATAGAAGAACCTTCTCAAGCCTCCTCTTTTATCTCCCAGGGGTATATAATATTGTGAATAAACCTCTCTGGTGGCCTCAAGGGAAAGCTACATGAGAAAGTTGCGATATAAACAGTGATCTCAGTGTTAAATTCGGAAGGACGTATTTTAAACTCATAATGTCAGTCATATCTCCAGGGGAACATATTGCCTTTCATAATTACAGTAAGTATGCCTATGTTCCAGTTTGTGCGATAATGAAATACGTGTCTTTGGGGCCTATCAAGTAATATAAATGGCCTGTCTGCGATTTATATATATATATATATTGGATAGAAAGATGGCTAGACAGAAGGATGGATGGATGCATGCATGGACAAAGATGGATGTATGGAAGGAAAGAAGGATAGATATATAGATGGAAAGATAGATGGATGGATGTATAGATGGATGGATAGATGAAAGGAAGATGGAAAGAAAGAAAGTTAGAAAGTAGATGAAAGGATGGACAGAAAGATGGATGGATGGATAGAAAAATGGCTAGACAGAAGGATAGATGGATGGATGGATGCATGAACAAAGATGGATGGATATATGGATTGGTGGATGGATGGAAGGAAAGAAGGATAGATATAACGATGGAAACAGAAATATAGATGGACGGATGGATGGACGGACGGATGTATATATGGATGGATGGATGGATGAAGGGAAGATGGATAGAAAGAAAGATGGATGGATGGATGATAGAATGATGGATAGGCAAAGATGGATCGAAAGATGGATAGATGCATGGATGGATGGATGATAGAAAGATGGATGAATATATATGGATGGATGGATGGATGGATGGATGAATACAGATGGATGAATAGATAGAAAGAGGAATGGGTAGACAAAGATGGATCGAAAGATGAATGATGAATGCATATTGAGGGATAGATGGATGGGTAGACAGAAAGATGGATACATAGATGGATGAATGGATAGAAAGAGGGATGGATAGACAAAGATGGATCGAAAAATGGATGCATGGATGGATTATAGAAAGATGGATGAATATATATGGATAGGTGGGTGGATGGAGGGAAAGAAGGATAGACAAAAAGATGGATAGATAAAGACGAATGGATTCACAGACAGACAGAGAGATAGAAAGAAAGATGACTATATGGAAGTTAAGAAAGATAGATGGGCCTCCATAGATTGCACTGTTTGTGCGTACAGAACATTTACCGCACAAGTTTTGCCATGAGGCCCCAGGTCTTCTTGCTGTTTTCATAATGAACAAGGCAGGGCTCCATTCTGTCGATTCAGCTGTCAGATAGCATGCAGGGGGTGCCATAGAGAGATGGTAATTAAAACAGGCTGTACTCGGAGCTGGGGGACAGATAAAGCGGGAGGTAAGATAAAGAAACGGGAGAAAGCAGTACGACTGGGTCTAGTGGATAACAGCCCTGCGCTACAGCCCATAGATCAATATGATGCTGCCGGACAGGCCGTGACAACTCTAATTGCGGCCCATACAAACCAGGAAGCCTGGGCAGAAACAGAGCTCCTGAGGTCCTCCCAGCAGTCCCTTTTCGCTGGATCATCCTTCAAACATCAAGCCAATGCTTTTGGGAAGCCTTCTTATGTGGAACTGACACACCACATCAGATAATCAATGTGCAATGTGGGTTTTAGCGATAAGTGATGTAATGTTCAGATTCACATTATAATTGAGGTCACAGATGTGATTCTCCAGTCTGTTTGTGTCTGGCCTCCTGGCTGAAGCCTGGAGTCTTTGCTTTATCTCTCCCTCATCAATAATAAGACAGCGAGTGTCATGCACATTAATGATCTTAAGATCTAATTCATCTCACATGCTCGCTGAGGGACCGGGCACTCAATGCACGAGGCATGGTAATGCGAGACAGCAAAACAATGATGGAAATCACCTCACCTCAATTAGTCTTCAGCACTCAATCTGCATTTCATGCCTGTTTGTTTAGACAAATACAAGAACAAGAACAGCAAGATTTATGCCATTCATTTGCATAATGCAGGATCTAGGGGATGAGATTGTCAACAGACCTAATCAAGACATAAACTAGGAGATAAACAAAAACACAAAGGCTGCATGTCAAATTTTTCATTTTAACCTCAAAGTTTACCACAGGTTACGTGCAGAACAAAGTCCGTTTTGAGGACTAAGGCTGTGTAGGTAAAACATTTACCCAGCCTTCCATTCACAGTGGAGGAGGGACGGGACAAATATCACCAACCATCACATTCTACTTGTACAATGACTGAACACCAATGGAGAAATAATAGCTAAATATTA